AGCTGTTTTTATTTTTATTTTTTTCTTTTTTCTCTCTAATTGGGGAAGAAAAAAAAGACACACCAGGAGCTGCTAATTCATTTGACCTATTTTAGATATCTTGTTTAAGTGTGCATTATTTGAAGGACTCTTGAAGACTCTGACAATAACTGAAGTAATGAAGCTTACCCGGATGACCTGACCTGATCTTTCCCCCTACCTTGTGGGTTACAACCATGAGGTTTAACTTTATGATTCAACCACAGACCAAGAAAAAACAAGCCAGACTATCATTCCTGCATTTTTGAGATCTTCCTTGTAAACAGCACTCAAAAAAAAAAGAAAAAGTTTGATTTAATTTCCTATCTCACTTCTATTATAAGGTCCGCTTTGCTTGAAGAATTCTACTTTGTTCTGCATATAGCAGAGACTAGTGGTCATTCTGTCACTGTCACTGATGTTTTCCATCTCCCCTTTTTCTCATCATCTTTGCCTCATGCGAATCTCTCAGTTATTCCCGGAGCCTTTCAGTAAGAAATATAGTGAACTGTTCACTTAGTTGGGTAAAAAAATCCTTCCAACATTGGAAATACTCTAGCTTTATAACCAGATGCACTCCTAGGCTGGTAATAACTAAAAGTTAGAGCTGAGTTGATGACTCCTCGCTAGCCTCTACCTGCAGTGTCCCCAAAGGCTCAGCCTAAGTGCTCCTATTTGTGATGCAGGACATCAAGAGAGGATGGATGGGGATGGGAAGTGCCTTTTCCACTCCTCTTCCAAGCCCTGTGCAAGGGGATGGGTCCCTCAGTCCTTTCCAGAGGCTGTAGGTCTCCAAAACCCCCAGCACTATCAAATAGAATCCATTTTTAAGGACTACCTGTAGTTAATAAAAGACAAAAGCTAGGTGATTATTTTTTGATATGCCAAAAAAAACTTTCTTCTCGGAAAGTATCAAAATGAAAGAGGAATGATTCTTCCCCTTTTTTTCTCTGCCAGTTCCTTACATGTCAAATAAAGCTTGTTTTCCTGTGCTTCTGATTTCATGTTTTCTGGCTGCTGTTTCCTTTTGTTGGCACTGAGCAAGCTGTGTTGTTCCTCTTTCTTTTGCAGCTCAAATTTTAATACATATATTGAGTAAGATTTTTTCTATCTTTAATTAAAGTCTTTTCTGTAATTGAAACTTATTTAAAGAAAAAAAAAAAAGGTTCTGCTCTATTTACACCGTAAAGGTCAACAGAATTTTCTCCACAGCTTCTGAAAAAAACCAGCCTGCAAAGCAATCAGTGCAAGTTTCTGCATTTTTCTTTCTTGCATATATCTAAAATATTTCCTAAGCAAAATGTTCCCTTTTCAATTTCAGCTCCTTGCTCAATTTTGTTTGCTTGATCAGACCCGCTTTTCACTTCTAAATTATCACCATACAGTTACTGACACAGTGCTAATTACTGCAATGACATTTTTGGGAAGCCCTTTCTTTTATACTATTTCCAGTAATCAGAATTCCTGGGTTTCTGTATTAAAAGTATCAGATCTTCAAATACCTACCATACTTGGGTATCTTGAAAACTAATTACTACTTGAAAAGCATGCCATGAGGAGAGGAGCAATCAGACCTGGCATTCAGCAAGCTGTCTCCCACTTTTTCAGGGCACAAGTGCAATGATACAGGATGCTGTAGATTCAGAAGGAAGGAGAGGAGGGTGTCACAGTAACTCAAGCAGTCATGACCTACTCTGATATTTGGGATATTCCTATCCTTCAGGCCACTCTACATTAGAAGAAAGAAGGCAAAACCTAAATATGCTGCCCTTTATCAGAGCTTGTTTGGCCTATAATTTAAATTTCTAATTTTTTAACTGAAAGAGAATCTTGAACAGCCTGGCACAATCTGTTGGGCTTCTGCTGATGAGTAGGGCAAGATGACAAAAAGCACTTTTTAAGAAAAAGAGCGAACACAGCTGAACTCTTGAAAAGAAAATATGTAGGGTCTTGTGTTCAGGACAGGATTCAAGGTCTGATGATGCCTTCCAAAGTTGATGACTGAACACCTGTTATTCAGGAAGAAGAACCACAACACAGTTTATGGGCATAAAATGCAGCTTAGCCTCTCTCGGAGTCAAAGAGCAGTTTTATTCTTTTCTAGGCTGGACAGGGTGAAGCAGAGGGAGGATGCTTGAGTTTTATTAATGAACAAGGATCAGAAGTAGGAGCAACACTCCAAACACCGGCTTCCTTTGGTTTTCTAAGCAGTAGAACACACTTCCTGCAAATGCCCAACTTCTCCCAAAGGGGCAGCTCACCAAGAAATAAGAGACCACCAGAATGTGAGATTAGAAAATGCCAGAAACTGAACGAATGAATCTATATCCAAAAAAAAAAAAAAAAAGATAATAAATATATATATATAAAAGATAGCTCCTGTGAGTTTAGTTAATCTTCCCACCAGGGATTACTGAGTCCTGGTTACAGCTGGAGTCTCCATCCTTGGAAATATTCACAGCCTTTAGGGCAAGATACATTTTTATATCATTTACTGTTAAAATTTCACCTTGTAATCAAAAGATCAAGATACTGGCTGGGATGGGTGTGTTTGTAGGAAAACAGTCCTTCACATTTAACTAAGCAATATTATTCAAAGGGAAACTGAGCTGTATGTAAATAAGTCCTCCATTCAGTACAACTGAATTCAGGAACTGTTTGTTTTTTTCCCCTCAGCAGCAGCAAAGGGCAGAGGAGGATCTAGACCCTGCAAACATGCATGGCAACCCTCCGCGTCATGCAAGGACAGTGTCAGCACCTACTTCAGCTGGAGCAGCAGACACTCAGGTGTCTATCGCAGATCCAGAGTGTGCATCCACTCTTACATACCCAGTCTCCTAGATATTGCAAAACTGTCTTCTTTCTTCTCAAAGCCAAAAATATTTCTTCATAGCTAAAGCACAGGTAGGCAGCTGATGCTACAGATAATGCTTCAGCAGTACATCAAAGTGGCCAGGTCTGCCTTATTTGTTACCGAAGAAATACATTAACTTGAGCAGCAAAACAATTTGTTCTACAGAAAACTGAACAACATAACACTACATAGAGTTTAAAAGAGAAATAGTAGAGACCTGACACTATAATAATTCACCTTCTAAATCAATAGCATCTACACCAGCACTTAGTGCCAAACTCAGCAGGTTAGCTGATAACATCAGTGTGCAATAAAAGCACCCATTCCTGGAGAAATCCATCTAAGTGAAGATATCACATTTTACTTTGCTGTAGGAAAGTATATAACTGTCTTAAAATTGAGATGCTCTCTACAGAAACGTTGATGGAGCTCTGATCTACAGGAATCAGTAGACCAGGCAAATTACCTGAAAGTGCGAGCGGATGAGTGGATGTTTGTGCTCGCAGGCAGTCTCAGCTGATAATGTAATTGCTCTTCTCCCTTAACAACCTCATTTGAATAAGATAAAATAAATATTAACACTGAGAATGGCTGCCAATAGTTATTACATGCAAAATGTGACTTTAACACTGCAAGGAGGGTTTACAGTAATGAGGCTTTTTGAACTCAAAGAAGACACATGATAATAGTCTTTGAATACCTTGGAGGCTGTTACAAAGCCACTATTCTCTGTGCCTGAAGGATAGTAAGACAAAAAAATAGTGACAGCGACTGAATTGCAGTCAGGCAGATATCAGGAAAAACCCCTTTTTTACCACTGAGGATAATAAGGCACAAGACTGGATTTCTTGTGGAATCTGTGAAATCTCCAACAGTGCAGGTTTGGGGAGGAAAAAAAAGGCATATAATTGATACTAACATGCAACACACAGGACCAAGGAAACTTTTGTAGTCTTTTCCCAGCCCTGTTTTCTATGACTTCACGGCAGTAGGAAGGGTTAGGATCAACACTGTATTTATCATGCAAAAAATGCACACCTTAAAGGAGATGTCACAACAGATTGCAAACTGCAGCTGTCCTCAAAAATGGGCTTAACAATGCTACAAATTATTTTAAAGCACCAGTTAGGCAGAACATTTTACAGCAGCTCTTCAGTCCTACCGACTCAAAGTCTAAGGATGCAAGCCCCCAAACCCTGATGCTCTGGGGCATGCCAAAACCAGCCTGCACCTACACCTTGCACAATAACAGCAATTTTTCAACCAGAGAAAGATTCAGCAAAACCCCTGAGAGCATCAAATACCCTTAAACAGAAGGTCAGCGCAAAGTCTCAAGTGCCCAGTGTAAAGCAAGATGCTTCAAAACTGCTGTTGAGGGAGGAAGTGTTAATGAAGGTTTACTGTTATTAATTTAACAGCCAACCCACTGCACACCTCTACATGTGCAGAGAGAACCAACTTGAGCTGCAGACACCGTTACTAAGACTTAGCGGCCCCATTTGTCCCAGTGGTAAATGCACCCGAGACTGCTCATCTTTGACCGCAGCAGCTCGGCTCCTTCGGGGCTTTCGGCTGTGGGCAGTAACCCGCAGCACTGGCCTTCTTGCTGCACCCACGGGCTGCCTGGGCGCTCGTGTCAGTGCCTGGTGCTGCTCTCTCATCCCGACGCCCTATGCTCTGCCCTTCCAGACACCTCCACAGCATCACCTTCCCCGGCGGCTCCTCTGACCTGCGTGCACCTGGTTTATCTGGATGTGCAATATGCCGCCAACTTGTTGATTCTGCTTAAGAAACCAGGGAGCAGCCAAGAGCTGAGTGGCCTGAAACCCACCTGTGCAAAGCCAATTTCAGATGCTCTATTTTGCAGCTAGACATGACAGAAGTCTGCATTAGGAGTCCCTGTGGGGCAAAAGCTGGGATGGCATCACTGGGAAGCTCCCCTCTGAACTCACACCAGAGAAACCCGCCAACATCCACTTCTCGCTCTCAGGGGAGCCTGTGAGATCTGAGTGCCCAGGCTGTGCTGCCTGCGGCCACTGCATCCCGCACGTATCCCACAGCTGGCCGTGCTCACCAGCCGGTCCCGGGGGCTGCGGCGCCCCGAAGGGCCCCTGCCGCGGGCACTCACCTATGGTTGACACCACGGTGCCCACGAAGTAGAAGGCGCCCGTGAAGTCCCAGCGGGGGCGGACGTCGTCGACGCGGATGCCGGCGCCGCTGGCCTCCTCGTAGGCGCGCAGGAAGCGGCGCAGCTCGGCGCGGCTCACGTTGTGGC